AGATGATACGCCGCTTCGAGGCGAAGGAATGCGACTGGCTTGAACGGGTGACAACTCTGGAGGCCGACCTAGAAGGCTTGCGGGCGGAGGCGGTCGAGACAAGGGGTCGACTGCGAAGAGCGGAGGAATCATCACCATCCGCCGAAGTGTTCGAACGGTGAGCTCTGCAATTCTCCCCTGCGCTAGCGTAGACCGCCTGTCTACCTTCTATCGTAAGGTTCGAGATGTTCTCCAATCTCAAGACCACACTTTCGCGAACAGTTCTACACGTGTGAAAGTCTTGCCGTGGCCCAGTAGCTTCACACCGATGTCCGTGTCTTGTACGAGTCGGTAGAACACCCCGTAAGTGCTACACGTCATGTCTTGTGCGTTACATTATGTTGGCCATGTCTCTGGCCAACGTTGTACGACTTCTGTCGTCAATCCCTTGGAATCGCACGCTTGCAACGGCGTCGTGCTGCCTCACGCGACCTAGGTACGAGGCCCACACCGGAATTCTCGAGGCGGAGAACACCTCCCTCCGAGACCAGAACATCTCGCTCGAGCTGAGACTGCTGGATACCCTCCGACAATCGACAACGACTGCTTCGTCGACGGGGAGAACGACCGTCGCAACCGAAACCAACTCCCACCTTTCCCTGTCAGGGTGCCAACAACACCGACATCATGCCGCGCTAGTCTCGACGAGGGCGACCGCTACCGGCGAGAAGGAGGGGAACCAGGACAGTGAAATATGTCCCAAACAGCACAAACCCGGCACTGGTGCGCTTCAGCAAGCAGAAGCATCAGCAAAAGCCTGCGTCGATGGCGGTGCTACATCTAGGTTCAGGGTGGATGGGAGAGTACCACCGTCCGGGAGCGTGGGAGAGGCGGGAAAGCCATGGCCAAGCGGGGGGACGCCGATGTGCGCTGCGGTGCTGAAAGACTTGCGACGGAGGTTGAAGGAAGCGGAGCTGGAGGCGAAGAAAATGAGGGCGGAAAGGGCGGGAATGGACAAGCGCGATCGACTCGTGAGTGCGGGGTCGATCTCGCTCCTGTGATTGGTGCTCCTAATTTGTTGTTCGGCAGGGCATTTACTTATTGTGGAGGTGACGGTGGAAATGGGGATGGCGGGCAGGCGCCACTGTAATAATCTTGCTATTGTTGTTGTTGCTGTTATTGTTGTTGTTTTTGTTGCTGTCGTGGACAGCTTCGATTGCGTTGTGTGCTGCTTCCCGCCACGTCGGGACGTCCCTTCTGGGGCTCGATACCCACGACCATGGTTAAAGGAACGAAACCATGCCTGACGGGTTTGTCCGTGGACCGCTGGTGCCGAAAACATGTTCTAGTCAACGGCTTTTATATTAGACACGCAATATATTTTCTCCATCAATGAAGAGAAAGTGCCGCATGCCATCTTCCCCCAACTGATGGTCAGTGTCAAGCTCAGCTCCGGACGTTGAAGGAGCAGAGATCGAAGCTGAGGGAGTTCCTGCTCAGGGAGAGGGAGCACGAGGTCAAGTTAACCGCAAGCCGCCTCGAGTCGGCGCGGGCGGAGGTGATCGCTGAGGACAAGGCGGCGGAGGTTGAACACCTCCTCGATAACCAGGTGCTGCGCGCTGAACGCGTATTCAATCTGCTGATACCACGGCTATTGGTCTTGTATTCGTTGTTGTTCGTGATGTTGGCCCTGCGTCTTCTGCAGCTGGTTGCTACGATGCGTGAATCATATCCCACAGGTGGTCGTAGACCGGGCACAAACCTACCCGATGGACAACTGACGTGGTACCGAGATAGGGAGCGTGTTTTCTGAACACATCGAACTCATTGAGTTTTGGACGCGGCCGTATCTCGATTAGTCTACATGTCGCAAAGAGAAGAACAGGCTTCGGTTTACTCTATGGGGAAAGCAACAGCGGTTTCGTGGTGGCCAGGTTTCGAGAAGTCGTCCCGGGACATCCCCACGTTGGACATGTCACCAGGAAACAAATATAAAACAATATGAAATATGATCAAGTTGGAAATCACGATGCATCCGATGTCCCGATCGATTTACGCTGTTTGTCGAGTATGCCGATGAGCAACTCGTGAAAAGCTATTCCAGAGCTTGTTATTATCATCGCACGCCGTCTGCGTGCTCACGGACATTCCGCTAAAGAATAAGACTAGTCTTTCATGCCAGCAGAGCAGTTGTATCGAGTAGGGACTTTCCGAAGCACCATTCTCCGCCTCTAATCCCGTGTTGTCGGCCCTCCGCCGTCTCTGCCCGCCCCGGTCCCCTGTGGCCCTCCAAACCACTCATTTGTCAGGCCGCGTTGGTGGCGGAAAGAGAAGACCTAGTTCTCGCGCTTGCAGGTAAACAGAAGAAATGACCGAATTGAACAGCAGGTGGTCGAGCCGTAAATGATCAGGTGTAGGACCAGGGGAGCTCAATCCACAGCGGTACCAACGACATTTGTGTTTCGTTGTGTCCCGATTTGACCATTGTCGCTGTTTCCGGACTTAAACGTGTTTCACTTTCGTCACAGAGGAGAGGAAAAAGAGCCGCCAGTTCGACGAAGACCGCGTAGCGTACGGACACATTCGGCGTTTCATCGAGCGGCACGCCGGCGGCCGGCCTGCGGAGTGGGACGAAGAGGTTTCAGTGATCGGGCACGATCAGGTTAAGGATGTGGGTGCTCGAAGACCCGCCGAAAATTTGGAAGGTATGGGGAAAGAACGAAAATATCCTTCTCTTCATCGTCAGGAAGTCGTTGGGATGGGTAATACCCCTGGTGGTGCTCCAGGGCATCGTGAGGCGGGGGAAAGGGTGAAGGAGTCGGCTGTGCGGGCCTTAGATGAAAGGATGGCGACAAGGGGAAGCGGTGGTGGCCGTTCTGTCAATGGTGTCGAGGAGGGTGGTGGTGGTGGCGTTTCGTTTGAAACCCTCCGACCACGAAAGAGCGCGAGCACGATCGATGCCACACCGTCTGGTAGTTGCCAAGGCGTCACCACAGATGGCAGCCGGCACTTGTACTCCGATGTTTACAGGCAGAAGCTGAGTGCTCGCGTTGGGGCAATTTGTCGAGACGACGACGACGCCCGTTCCGGCTACGGCACTGGTGGTGCCCGCTTTCGAGAAGACAGCAACAACTACAGCCATAGTCACTACGCGTTGAAGTTCACCGTTGGAAGCGAACGGAGTGGGCAGGTCAAGCCTCTTGTGCAGAGAACCCCGCTGAAAGGCTCGCTGCAGGCGGAGTGCAGCCGCAAGGCCGATGGCGGCTATTCCTCGCACGGGAAAACGGCGGTGCCCGACGACGATTGGCTATTTGGCGGCGGAGGAGAACACGGTCCTGGCGTTCACGATAACGAGAATGCCGAGTACCACGAAAGTAGTTTCGCCACGACAAAGGCGGTGGAGGGCTAGGGAGTGTCAGAAACGAACAACTCAGTCGTATAGACAACAGGGAGATGGTCGATGAGCGACGTTGTCCACCATGCCTGCCTTCGATGATTGTGTGCTCGGGATCAAGCAGGCCGACCATTCGCTTGTTGCGGAAGGGGGCCGGCGAAGAGATATCAACGCGACGGCTTGGCGGCAGCTTGTTTACGGCGAGAATAGCAGGGAGCGGTGAAAACACGGTTCTCGTGGACCCGTCCCCGCAGGACGTTTCTCGAGGAAGACAGCGGCTTCTCAACAAGAGAGCTGAAAAAAGAGACTGCTTCCTGCCTAGGGGTGAAGAATATATCAGGCTTGAAAAACATCTCCTGTAGGTTTTCGGCTTTCGTTCCCACAAAGCGAATAAATACGTTTCAAGGAAATGAAGACGGTGTCTTTCCAATGGACAACGTGTACAGGAGGGCGCTTACGCGACAGTGCCAATCAAGGACTGTGCAAGTACTTGCGCTCAGCTTGCATGGTCTAGCTCACCAGCACGTGGACAAATGCTTGAGAGAGGACATATGCCATGATGTAGAGGATCCCGCTGAACGTACCGACACAGGATACCATCGGACCTCCACGACTACCGTCGCGGAAGAAAATATCGGGGTTAATACGTTGGGATAAATGAAGGGGAATGTATGCGAAAGGGGCTGGGGCTTTGGAGCCACCCGTCGTGTGAGGCGACTGCAATTCGCACGTACTGCACAAACCAAGCAGGAATGACCGCGTTGCAATGATGGAAAAATAAATGGACACCCCGCTACGATGAGGTCGTGAGAACGGCTCCTTTCGTCCAGGGTATGCAACATGCAGGACCAGACCTGCCAGCCCTGTTTGCCCTTCACGCGGAAAAAGTGGATTGAACGTGCCGCATCAAAACGATGTTGATACCGTCGGGCTGGATGCTGTTGCTCAATCCCAGTGCGTCTACAGTAGAACGGCACACCAGTAGACGTTCCCATCATTGGCGTGACCGCATAAAAATGGATGCACTCTCGCACGGTCCGTACATTCAAGCGTGAGGCGCATGCGCAAGGAGTTGAAGGGCAAAGCCGAATTTCGAGCAGGTTTCTTTGGCATAACCGTGACTCTTACTATTCATCAGCTCCCGCACTTTTAGATGTTGTCTTCACCGAACCGAAATCACGTGTGGCGCTCATTTTTTGTCGCACCAACTATCGTTTACCGCCAAAACACAGCGACTATGTGAACAGAGGCTGAAACCCGTAGAAGGGATGCACTATTTGCACAAGGAAAGCAGCACGACGGTGCAAAGAACGGTTTTCGCCTCCTCTCACCACTCCCACCAACTCTGACAAGCAAAACCAAACCTCCGCCAACACACATTCCTCGGCGTGTGCTAGAACGAAAAATTTCACCGAATCGGCAGATACTGCATGTCAACGCCACGAACAGGCCTTTGTGCCATTATCGATATTGCTCATGACAGGCACCAGAACGAGCGGCTTCCAACGTTGTTCCCTATCCAAATGCATTATCATTACCATCACTCATCTCAGCCAAAACAATCGCAAGCTGTGCCTGTTTCTCCTGCCACTACTCCCCCCTTTCGCCCAACCTCGATCCCCGAACATCACGGCGTGTCAGCAACACCGTCGCCGACCGACACTATCTCCCCCTCTCTTCTCCTCGAGCGAAAAAATCCACGCAAGGGTAACGCGCACTCCTCCGCGAGCACGCCCCCCTTTACTTCGAGCTCGTGAAAGGCATGTCTTTGAGAGGACAGGTCCACCCAGCCGCCACAAGCCCCGAGATTAGGGTTCGGGGCTCCGAACACCACCCTATCCACCCGGAAAAGCTGAGACGGTAACGCGAAAAAGGGGAAGCCGGGGGCACTGGTTGGAGAGACACGCATGACACAAATCAACCAGATTTGCGGTTTTGTCAGACTAAGAGAGCCTGTTCCTGAGAAGAACAGAACCAGGTGACGAGCCTGTTTGGGCATTCGGGAGCCGAAACCCTCAAGACGTCTACGTACTCGGAGATGGTAAGGTCAAAGTCATATCTGGTGGGTCGCGGGCGTGCAATTGCAGAAACCCGAGGACAGGTCGTAAATTGCGCCGTCAATACTCGTTCCCACTCCATGTTGACAAAATCACGAGAGCATGCGTCCTTCACCGAGATAATCTCCTACGCGTTGATACTAGGCGACGGTGGTCGAAGCATTTCAACAAACAGAACATATTTGCGGTGCTGGCTCTGACCTGTGCGGCTGAAAGACACATGGCGCAAGGCTCCACTGTGACATAGAGCGTGGTCCCGGCAAGCCTCCAATTGCTCCGTGCTTTTGCCGCAGCCTTGTGGGTGGGGGTTATTGACCATGTGGCGTGTACGCACGAAAAAACGAAAGGTACGGCATGCGTTAGTAAAATGTCGGACGCACTCAGAACGTAGCAAGTGCGAGTTGATTCCTTTCGAGGTTAAATGCCTTCTATGTTGGGGTGTCACCGACCAAGGAACCTCGGCAGCAAGTTGGAACTTTGCTCCAAGTGATGCTCAACAAGGCACTCAAAGAGTGAGCAGTTGGGTTGGACAGCAGTACACTCCATGTCAGCCCTGTTCGGCTTCTTCTGCCAATCCGACCAATGTGTTTCGGTCCTCAACCACATAGACCCACCTGGAGACACAGCATTTCGGCGTGCGCCGAGGCGTCACGGCGCCCCTCCACTTCGTTTCTGCCGGTCGACAGCACTCGTCGCCTTCCATCTCTCCTTGTCGGTACGGTCTCCGCCAAAATAGCTCCAATCTGGACAAATACCCAATGTGACAGAAGGAAGCGTACAAGCAGAGGGTTGAAGGGGGTACAGGTTGGCATCGATGAAGGCATAACCACTTGGACCAGAGTAATACTGCTTCGTATTGGGCTTGTATTGTAGGAAGCACACGTGGCCGTCCTGTCGACGTTTCCTGACGGCCACGCGATTTGGGATGCATAGGAGCAACAAATATACGATCAAAGGCCAGCTCGACGATGAAAAGAGGATCCCGCAACGCCAACCTATCGTGCCACAAACGCATGCATGCAGCAGGTCACTCGCAACGAAATGAAGAAAAAAAAAACAACGAGTGTGGCTAGCAGCTGTGCGGAACCAACGAAGCGATACAACGAAGAGGGGTACTCACCGGCACTTCACCCTCCATGCGGGCTCGTCCTGCCAACCGTAAAGCCATACGCATAAATCGGTCATCATCTTCCTCCGAATACTTCGGGACTTCTGAGGCGAAATTTTCTTGAACGGCCTTCGAATGCCCTCCTTGAAGCAGGGTTTCCGCTTGCTCAGCCATCAGCTGTGAGCTTTCCAACCCCCCTGTCGCCAACGGCCTCGCCCTGGTGCTGGTACTACTGCGTTCTTCAGAGAAAAAGCCAGAACCTGAGCATGACACATCCTTCCCACCAGAACGGGAGAGGTCGGTGTCCGCGTCGTCTCTAGTGGCAATCTCGTCAGTAGACACGACACCATCCACCTGCAGCAGCTGCTGCTGCCGCTGTCGTCTTTCCCTGTTGGCAACGTTCGCCTCGTTATCTACAACGCCAGGTGCCACCGCTGCTCCGACGCCGGTGCTCGGTCGAATTGCAGTCTCAAGGCCCAAGCTCTCAGCCTCGACGATGCTAGGCTCCATCGCCGACAAACCCTCCGCGGCTTCTACCTCTATGTCTCCTAAGGTCTGCAGGCGCAACCGCTGGCGCCGCCGCTGCCGCTTTCTTCGGCATCGGTTACTTCCGCCTTGCGTCTGGTGGGCAAGACCTACGGTGTCTGCGGCCCGATGATTCATCGTTTCTGCACTTGTACCATTTCGCAAAGCCCCAACACTTGCCACTGCGGTTACCGGCTCGTGTTCCTCGCGATCGGCGACATCGGGGGTGCTCGGTGGGCTTCGCTGGGGCGAGAGCGGCCAGTCGTGGACAGTGCTTCCGCTGCGCAATCGGCCTCTCCGCCGGCGAGAGGTGGTGGGATGGTGCTTGGCACTTTGGCGCCCGGAGTCACGATGTGGAGACAGACTTCCCGACAGGCCTTTTGACCGGCGGTGCGCGCGTATCTGCCCCGAGACTGGTGGACCTGAGAAAGGCCCGGTGTTTGGTAGAGGGGGGCCAGTGTTGTTTCCGGTTTAGTAAGGGATAAAGATGGCTCACGAAGGATACTTCTCTCGGTAGCACTGGTGTGACCTAGACACCCTCCCCGCAAATACCACACCGGATGATGATGTTATTTAACGCCAAAAGTGGTATCGCTGGGTGTACTGTCTTGTGCACTACGTGGTACCACTACTGCTACAAACTCAGTCGATATGGTGCACAGCTGCGACCGTGTGTTCTTCATGCATCGATCTCAAGTCCGACCGAAGGGGTAGGTGCAGGCAACTCTTCGCGACTCGTGTAGCTCTCTGTATACATCACCGATGACGACAAACATCGCCGCTCCCCGTTGCCATTGAAGCGCATGGCCAAGGTGCAAGCTGCAAATATGCATGCAATGTATGCGTGCCTGATGGGCAATACTGTAGAACAACCAGGTCGGTCGGGTTTCACCCATGGCCAACGCATACCGTAGGTGACACAAGATACCACACCCCCTGGCCCGTTTTTCAAAGCTCGACTACTCCGCGACGAAGAGGATACCAAAATAAAACGATAACCTTTCGGAAAGATCTCGATGAGACCGTTCCAACGCCGTCATTTTCGGCACTGCTACTATTTACGGTGGCGTAATCGATCTCTCAAATCGGGCCGGGGTGTGTGGTATCTTGTGTCACTCACGGCAGTCTATGACTCATTGAACATGGCCGCGAACATGTCTTATTCTAGCAAAGAGGTAGCACGGGAAGATGAAACATTGTCGGCAAACAGGCATTGAGTAACATGGTTCTACAGCCCCCGCCACACGAGAGAAATTCGTATCAGTACGCCCAGCAGCACCGGTATAACACGTGCCCGGTATCAACTGCTGACTGGACACACTGCTGTGCATGACCACTTGCCTCGCAACCTTTGGAGGCAGGCCCCGTTCCGCCAGGCCACCACATCTCGCAACACCGCGATTGACACAATAAGTGTTATACATCTGGCCGATACTGCTGCTCCAGCAGCAGCATTTAGCCCTCTGCTCGTCATGTTGAGCGAGAGATCAGACAGAGCTGTGAGGTCGCACACCACGCGGCGGCGGAATACAGAGGGGGCACGCAGAGGAAATTCAGAGATTTGCGGTATTCAGCGATGAAGGGGAGTTTTTTTTAATATTCTCGCACGCGATTGAGAGAATGCAAGCCAGAGAGCCAGAGCACTCGAGGGGAGCAACTCTCGGAAAGAGCCGGGCTATTGCACGTGAGGTTCCTCGTGTGCTGGCATACGTTCTGGCACCAAGAGTAGCTCTGCTACGGTGGACCCGGTGGGGAACGAGAGCAGGAAAAGCGAGATAGAGGGACGAAGACACAAACCGCATCTTGTTTCGTCCCAAAAACAGCGGTTACTTTTTCCCGAGAGACCTGCGTGATCCGAGAGAGCCACCACAGCCCTCACCCAGGCCCCCTGCAGCCTGAGCAACGCGATGCAGCGCTACCTGGAGACGACGAGCTCCGGGAGCACCCAAGTAGATAGTCATGCGACGGGTGGCGAGGAAGAAGAGGGGGGCTTCCCTGACTGGATCGCCTTCGGTGTAGTGGCGGTGGCTATGGCTCTCGGCATCATCACCAGGACCACCCTCGCGAAGTGGCTACCGTGAGTGCCTTCCACAATCTGTGCTCGCTTCGTAGAGCTGTGCTCTGGACAGCAATCGCATTAGCAATGATAGGGAAGGGTGTGATAGGCTGGGGGTTACAGCTCTTTGCGTTATTCCGAGAGGCACGGGGAAGGCGTGATGAGGATTACTTTTTCGGCCAACGCGAAGCACACTGCGTGCGGCTTGACCTTGATCCAATTGCACTTGAAGCGTCCGTTGTTCGTTCTTTCATGTACAATGCAGCAGGTGTAAAAATAGGCTGCTGTAGACTACATGTACCGAAAAGAGACAGCGAGGTACTGCTGCGTCCTTCTACAAGTTCAATTGTTCGAGATTAGGCGATAGACAGTGTCCCGACCTGCCCATGGCCGGCGCACCGGCAAGATTAAGTCGGCGTCATCCAGGCGATACATTTCTCTCGCAAGCACTTTCGTCGGTCGGACACACGGTCTATTATACATTGTCCGTGTGTCCCCGTTGCGCCGTTGCTGACAATGGACTGCCTATCCAAATATTGCTCATCAAGTCGGTTGCGATAAAATTCTGAGACTCGTGTTCCGCGGTAGGGACAGCAGTCACATACACTACACGTCCTGTGCTCGTGCGGGATTTCCTCTACAAATACGGACGCCGACGTGAGCAAGGACGCGGTACCGAGTTTTTGTGAAAGGAGGTATTTTTTTCGGTCTTCATTGTGTAGGTAAAGTCGGGAAGTCGGGCGGTACACTAGGCAACATGACTTTCCGGATCATACCGCAACATACGGCCGCGCACCGGTCGGAGATAGTCGGAGATTTACCGCGCATTAACCCGTATTTGCACCGGTCGCAGGCCATCGGGCGCGCTTGCCTGCGTGTACTCTAGTGCCAGCGATATCGCGCAACAGAACGGCAGCGCCCGGCATCGCGCGTTCTGTCGGTGCACGAACGTCAACAGATGTTGCAGCATGGCTGGCTATATACTGCTGTACTACCGGGCCGCTCTTCGCAAAAAAACACAAATATCATCCGACCATTGTTTGCATATCTTGGCACGCATGGCGGACGAACATTTCATCCATGTGCCATCACAAACAGCTAACAGCAGCATCAACTGCTGTTCTCTGAAGCGTATGCATATAACAATCAGAAACTTTGCACCAGAAGGGTGTTGCGAGGTTGTAAATATGTTTAGGAACGGGTGCTTTTTACTTTCGTCCCTTCTATTCTGGGCACCAATCTACGCCGTTCGGTGTGTGCTGATGCACCACCGGGGCCACACGGGGAAGGTTTGATCACTGGAGCTCCCACCCCCCCGCGCGTGCCTTCATTTTCAACGCGAGAAAGGGTCAGCAGCTCCTCCATCGATATGAATTCACTTGCGAATCAACCACATTCAACCACTCAAGCAGTGTTGGCTCCCAGAAAGCTTGCAACCCTCAACCTAGTACCAATAGGGTACCCACACAACGAGGTTACAGCGGTACCAGCTGAGCCACCGGGGCCGAACTGTCAACCAGAGTTTTGGGCCTAAATGTGTACCAGTCGACCATGGGCGCTTGGTGCTCGGTTGATGCCGTTTATTGTTTGTTATTGCCGGCGAAATCCTGTGATTTTTAGGCCACAGTTAGTGTCATTGGGTGATGACCCATCAGCGTTGCGTCGTTTGCCCCCCCCCCCCCCCCCAACC